TCTATAAAGTGGGAGAATCGTTGAGGAATCTCTGTAAGCTAGAAATTCTTCAGCGATTTTCCAGTTGATTTTCTATAAACTGGAAATTAATTCAAGATTACAGTGTATACTAAACTCTGAGTGCATTGACTGCAAGCTAAAAAGGCTACTAAGGCTAGGTTTCTGAAAAGAGAATTGCTATTTTGCTTTTCTGGTCTAACGGACAAGAAAAAAAAGTGCTTCCTTTCGTGATTCTTAGACGTTTTTTGGGGGCAGTTTTATTTTGCCTTAAATACATTGCAAAAGAATTCTAATCAATAATTATTCATTTAAAATAAAATTGAGCTTGTAATGGGCTAAATGTACTTGGACTACACTTAGACTACATTACTGCTTTAAACTTCTGTATTTATTCAAATCACTAATGTAGTCTAAGTGTAGTCCAAGTGCATTTAGCCCATTACAAGCTCAATTTTATTTTAAATGAATAATTATTGATTAGAATTCTTTTGCAATGTATTTAAGGCAAAATAAAACTGCCCCAAAAATTCGACGGAATCCGTAGCAACGACATTGCATGGCCGTTAGATCATTCCTTTCTGCTTCTATTTTTCGATAATTTATTTATTCTTCTAGATGCTTCTTCCAGTCGCCATCCAATATGATGTCAACTAATCGTCTCCAATCACAAGGAGTTCCTATGCCTGTCCAACAACACGCTTGTATGAACGGTGGTAAAGGTAATACAATGCCAACGATGAATCAACCACGGGTACAGCAGTCACCTCGTTCGTATCCAATTAATATTAATACAATGCAAGCAGGTATGATGAATAATAATATGAACAGCAATAATAATCCGACCCGACTTGTAAATGGATCGTTGATGGACCAGGAACAATATGCCATTGGTTACGATATACACACCACAACATGAATAACACCCGAAGTATGTTTTAAGCGAGAATTTACTGAACAGAATAATGTGTTCTTTATTTCTCTTAAGGATCTAACTGCTATTGGTATTACCCATCCATCTCATCGACGAAAAATTAAAACTGAAATTGGAAAACTACGTGTTGGGGATCGATCTTTGAACAAAATTTAGAATTAATGCGACAATCTTTGCTGATTTATGGCGAACATCATTGTATGCAAAATTATCTCAAACATGTTTAGATTTAAAAAAAAATCATTATTCCATTTAATGTTTCTTCTGGTTTATTATATGTTAAAAACGTATATTTTGTAAACTTACATTTTTCTGCGTTTTCTGATTGTATGTGTGACAAAAAAAATAATTTTTTAAAATAAACTTCGATCAGACCAGTCCTCAAGCTTCAAAATGATGCGGATTTTATGGATACCACTAGAGCGTTGAAGAGCAACGAACTGGAAGTCGGACGAGCAAATGATAAGGCGCATGTAAGATAATTGTAAGACCCATATAAGAATCCGGTAACCATGTCATACGAATTTTTAGATGATCTTATTGAATTCTTATCAATTTCTTATGAATTTCTTATCGGATTCTTATAAAAGACTTACGGGTGTCGATGAGAAATCTTAAACAATCTTATGTAAGAAACTGATAAGATTCTTATAAGAATCTTATAAGATTTTCAGAAATATTTTTCTCCAGGGTTGGAAGTCTTGGATCTTATATACAGCCGTGATATCTCTTTTTGTATATGTACTGAAGTAGGACAGTTATGGAAGAATTTCAAAGTACCGGAATTTGTTACTTTCCATCAAGAAGGAACCAATCATAGTGGGGGAGTATGTGTCGTTGTAGGTAAACACCTAAAAGCAGTTAGAGTGGAAACACGAATTGCAAACACAGTTATAGTAGATATAATAGGATTGTCGGAACCCATCCGAGTGATAGGTATTTACTGGCCTAACCGTCAGGATCGAGATCTCGACGATCTTTTACCATACATAGTCGAAAATACAGTACTAGCAGGTGATTTTAACGCAACTGTAATGGGATGGGGGATTAATCAAAAAACAGATAGTAGAGGAAGTATGTTACAAAAATGGGTTGAAATGAATGACTTCTCCTTCATCCTAAGTACTTTTAATTCTTCGCGACGTTCAGAGCGGAACATAGATTTTATTTTTTCAAATTTTGTAGGTTTAACCGGAGAGACGTTAAGGTATGGGACGAGCGACCATTGGCCATTGGTCTATAAATCAGCGGGTATAAGCTTCAAGATTTACGCAAAGTTTTCTCGTGTTTTATGGAAAGAGTATGAAGTCATACTTTGTTTACTTCAAGACTTTTGGTCGGAGGAACAAAAGAGGGCGTCATCATTTGAATGGTATGAAAACTATGTCCGCTTTTTATCTGCATTAAAAAATCGAGCCACTGTGTGGGTGAAACGAGAAAAATTTAAACCGACTCTACCAGCCATCATTTTATAGAAAATATCGTGTAGGTCTCCGAATAATCTATCGATGTTATTTTGTGGAAAGGGAAGATCTGTTTGAAGTGGTAAACGAACCAAATCTGGACTCTTATATTAAAAAGTATCTGTCTCGTAGACTTTCTAAAGTATATGAGACTGATTTGTTCTCGTCCTTTTTTATAACGACTTATTTTTCTGGGAAAATTTCCAAGAGAGTAAAGCTGGTAAAAGTGGTCATTTTTTGCACATGAGTAAAAAAGATGTTAAATGAACATTTATCTTCTATTGTTAAATGGTTAGAGTTTTTAGAGAAGTAAGAAACTAAAGCTGGTCTTATGTTTATGTATATGTATGTGATATCTATTTTCTGGTTTTTTTCGTATGTCGGGCTTTTCCCCTTCCTCCCTTCATGCTACTGTGTTATTCTTTATTGTTATTTTTTAATTGTATTTTTTCCTTGTTTTACAACCTATGTCCATATACAAGTTTAGATTGCGTTCTAAAAGTACTACCCCCTGTTTATTGTATGCTAAGTTTTATTATTTTGTGCTGTCGATGTGGATCTTTACTTATGTATTTTGCAAGCGCTCCAGAGCGTAGTAATAAAGACCGCATAATCCAAAAAAAAAAATTTCGGAAAAGTGATGTTTTTATCATGTAAAGAATTTTAGAGACCATCAATGTGTTCGTCATCAGTTAGGATCCGTCGAGAGTAGCCGACCCGGATTTTAGTAAGAAAAGCATCAACTGTCAAGGATTGTTAGTCTATTTTCTTTTTTTTCTTCTGCACTTTAGTTCAAAAAGTCGAACAGATTGTGGCTCTGGTCAACGTAACGGTTACATATCGGGCCAACACAACGGTTAACGGAAATCCCATGATGCACTATGGGCATCCAGGTGGACATTAGGTGAAAAATCGAAAGTACACTTTTGCAAGATTCAATTAGTGCTAGATTTACTTCGGACTATGGACTATTTAATGGCATTTAAAGTTTTACTACAAAGTTCAAGTAGAGTGGAAAATGAGCTAATTGAAAATAATTAAAAATCAGCCTGAAAATAGCGCCATCTATATAACACACATTTTTTTTACAAAATACACTGACGTGATAACCAAAAACAATATATATTATAAATTTGCCTAATGTCCGCTACCGATTTATAAAACAAAAAGTGGTCAATTACTACTGAAGATTTCTGAGAAAAAAAAATTCTTTTTTTCTACAGGGCTTTTCCAAACGGCTATATTAGTAAAATGATCGCCCCCTCCAGCCCCCAAATTGAAACTTATTCAAACTTTGCCAGAATGTTCTCCCATATGTCCTCTCTCACCATAGTTAGTACGATAGCAAAATAGCGCAAATACTCCTGGACTGAGTTATAGGTTTTCCAGAAAACCGTGGGTTTTTGACATAATTTCAACTTTTCTCTTTTAGAAAGCATGTATATTGAAAAATAATGACATATTCGGGATCAGCGCAAAAATCTGCATCGAATGGTATATAATTTACCATAAACGTTTTTTTGTAGAAAAATGCTTTGATCAAAGGAGCATTATCATTACGCAGCAAATTTTGCATGGGTATTTGGATATTCATTTTAGCAGAGGGGCGAAAGTCGATAAACACGTTTTTCTATAGGTTTTCGAATATGCTCTTTCGAATGGTGAGATTTTGGACATCCAAAAATATTTTTTGGGGGGTTTTCTGGAGATCCGGTCTTCCGAAAACCCAGAAACAACTATTTTTGGATGCCGAAAATCTCACCATTGGAAAGAGCATATTCGAAAATCTATAAAAAAACGTGTTTATCGACTTTCGTCCCACTTCTACAGCATATGTCCACATGCCTAGTCAAAATTGTCCACTGTGCCAGGTTGCAGGAAGGCTGAGAAAGCTTTCCTGCCACTTATCTGACTGTCACTACGTTCTTTCGATGGTTTAATCTCTTTTTCCGCAAATTTCATCATGTTTTACTCGGTATTTTCTTCGAGAACATGAAGTAATTAGAGATTTTCTTCTAGAACATCTTCTTCAGAGTACGCAGCAATTTATTTTCTTTGTTTTGAGTTATAAACTCCATTTCATGTCATGTCACAAAGTTGAACTATTATTAATTTGCTCATCTGAAGTGAGATAGTGAGAAGTGAGAAGTTTCATCTCAGATGTATCTTTAGGTTCTTCGTCGGTGTATTTTTCAGTTCTAATTCGAAACGTTACTGGCATTAGATCTCAGAATAGAAGTGAGAGGAACTGTCTTTGTGTTTCATCTGTGAGTTGTGCCAATAAAGTAACGTTTGCCGTATGTGAAGAAAACATTCATACTTGAACTTCCAGTGAACGTGTATCTATAGATGCTCGACACTCGGACCAGTTCGTTGCTAGAGCCAATCTAGCGTACTATATTTGAGGTGCTCTAGCTGTGCCGCTATCCTCTGTGCGTCAAACAGGATCGGAATGATCGTGGCTACATTCTGAAAGATTCAAACGGCAAAGCGATCTTACACCGAGGAACTCACATGATAACTCAACCTTTGTGTGCATTACTCTCACTGTTGTGCATTTTCATTCTGAGATTTCTGCACAGTCAACATATTTAACTGAACCTACACATGGGAAAAGACTTTAGATGTGGTGCATTGTCCGAGAAAGAATATTCTCTTTCGATTCTAAAACTGTCAAGAAGAAAATAGTTCAACCTTGAGACAAAAACATAAATTTTCCTCTTCGAATGCTCCTCTTCTCCCGAAAATTGCTGTGTACTTACTGATCACAATAGTCAGATGGTTAGTCTATTTCCATTAACTACAACAGAATTAATTATACAATAGCAACAATTTATCAGCGAAAAGGTTCCTACTGTCAAAAAGATATTTCTCTTAGTATATCACGACAAATACACGACGTTTCGATTTCTAGACTGACGGTAGGACACATTTTATGAATGCCTGTGAATGACTGATCCATACCTGTACATTTGTTAGAACTGATAAATCCATAGAATTTTGATTATCAGTAGCATCTTGTTGTTGGGTGACTGGTACTAATTTTTGTGGTATCACGTTCGCTGATACCGATTCTTTCGTCTTTCTTTGTCGTTTAGAGCATTCAGCACATACTTCAAGATAGATCTTGACTGCTTCAAATGGCACACGTGAATAATGACTTTTGATCTGTAAATAGGTGACAACGGCAGCTTCAATAGAGTAATATTTATTCAGTATTCCTTACTGTCTTCCAAGTTTTGTCTCTTCCAACGTGACCATGTTGATTTTCATGACATTCTTTTATTCTATCATAGATCTCATCATGAACAACAACAGGCTGCTTCTCTTTCATGCAATAAACTAAATTCTTTTCTAAATAGAAACTATGTCTTGCCCAGTATTTGAATTTTGCGTTATTGTCAATATTTTCATTTTTTCTTAAAATTTTCAATATTTGCTCGTAAGTATCACCACTAATTGTGTATTTATCACGGTGATTCTTGTTACGAGTCTCAATATATGTACGTAGTTTTCTGTAAA